AAGTGTTTACTCAATCAAGCATATCAAAAAATGTTAGCTGCTATGGCAGACACTACAGGTAAGCTGACCTGACACCCATTCTGAAACGCATTCCCTTTTGCAATCTCTATTACAGAGGCTGGAAAAGCTAAATGGAAATAGTAACACCTTACTTCCCCAGATGTTCTTATATTTGGGAATCTGCTGACCACTGTCACAGAAGTGGAAGCCTGGTAGATCACTCTGTTACTTCTTCTAGCCTTGACTGTAGCACAAGGAAATACCAAGATAATTTTAGAGGTTCTGGACTTACAGATATGGACAGACAACCCTCTATTTGTTTAAGCCAGCCATCTCTAACTGAAACACATCCCATTATTATTGTTACTCCTATTTATGAAAAGGTATGAAAAATCAGGCATACTGCTTATCCTTAGGAAGGATAACTTTGCAATACATAACAAAAATCTAAAATGTGCATTATTAGATCTAGAATTTCAACTCTAGGACTTTATCCTAAGAAAATAATCAGGAAAGGGTTGAAGATGTCACAGCATGGAAAAAATGGAGCTAGGGAGATTAGAAGTCAGCTCTGCACATTAGACATTGGGTAGTTTGGATACGTAAATGATTTAACGTCTCTGTTAAGAGTTCTGGTTTTCCAGGCCAGTTGCAGCGGCTCACACCTATACTCCCAGCACTTTGGGAGCGTGAGGTGGCAGAAGTGCCTGAGGCCAGGAGTTCAAGACCAGCCTGGACAACATAGCAAGACCCTGTATCTACATAATTTTTTTAAAAAATTAGTCAGGAGTGATGGCATGTGCCTGTAGTCCTCCTAACTACTCAGGAGGTTGAGGCAATAGTACTACTTGAGCCCCAGAGTTCAAGGTTACAGTGAACTACGATTATGCCACTGTACGTCAGCCTGGGTGAGAGCAATATCCTATCTTAAAAAAAGAAGAGTTTCAGTTTTCTCATTTATAAAAATTAGGTCTAAAACCTCATGTAACAATGCTGCATAATAAACTTCCCCCAGTCTTATGGCTTATAAGCATTTATTTCCCCCCTCACAAATCTGTGAGTCAGCTGGGCAGCCACGCATTGGTCTGCTCAATACATTTTTCTTTTCTCCTATAGGTCAGGAATAAAAACTAAGTCAAATCAAAACAGTGTTTGAAGCTTCTGGATATGTCTGCTAACATTCTACTGTTCAAGCCCAACATAAAAAAAGGCAGGGAAGCATACTCCCTTCTAGTTGAGAAGGGGAGCAAAGTGATTGATTCTGATGAATAGTTCTAACTAAGAAACGAGGATAAAAACATGAAAAAAGAAACAAAAACCTTTTTTTTTCCACGATTGTTTTTAGGATTAAACTGAGCATGGAAACCATCTAGTACAATTCTCAATAATGGTAGTAATTATTATAATAAACCCTAGAGGGAGTGTTTGGCAACTTTTCTTTTTTCTTTTCTTTTTTTTTTTTTTTTTTTTGAGACGGAGTTTCGCTCTCGTTACCCAGGCTGGAGTGCAATGGCGCCATCTCGGCTCACCGCAACCTCTGCCTCCTGGGCTCAGGCAATTCTCCTGCATCAGCCTCCTAAGTAGCTGGGATTACAGGCACGCGCCACCACGCCCAGCTAGTTTTTTGTATTTTTAGTAGAGACAGGGTTTCACTATGTTGACCAGGATGGTCTCGATCTCTCGACCTCGTGATCCACCCGCCTCGGCCTCCCAAAGTGCTGGGATTACAGGCTGAGCCACCGCGCCCGGCCATTTGGCAACTTTTCAAAATGTAACAACATGGTACCAACTTCGGAATTCCTTATCTGGTATATTCTATGGAATCTTCAGAAGCTATTGATTTCCACATCATTGTCTCTTCTTTATTCCTATAGATACAGATGACTTTCGCCAAGATGGCAAAATAGAAACAGCTCAGGAGCACAGCTCCCAGTGAGAGAGACATAGAAGGTGAGTGATGTCCACATTTCCAATAGAGGTACCAGGTTCATTTCAATGGCAATGGCTGAACAGTGGGTGTAGCCGAAAGAGGGCAAACCAAGGCAGGACGGGGTGCTGCCCCACCTGGCAAGTGCAATGGACCATAGGATCCGGGACTTCTCTCTCCCCTCGGCACTCCGGTTCAGATACTGTGCTTCTCCCAAGCCCTCTGAAACCCAGAGACCAGGAGATCCCTGCCAAAAGCACTGTGAGTTATCAGCACAAATCTGAGCGGCAGCTCCAACAGGCACCACAGGTTGTCAGCACAAATCTGGACGGGAGATCTGACTAGCACTGGGAGCCCCTGCCGGACAAAGCTACTTGCCCCCCAGAAAGAGGGAGAGCTGAAAGCAGGGAGACAGGTGATACAGCTTGGCAGATCCCACCCCAACAAAGCCCAGAAAACTGAAGCCCTCTCGCTTGAGAGTTTCACAGCCAGCACATCAGTTCAAGCTTGACCAGGGACGATCAAGCTCGGTGGGAGAAAGGGAGTCCACCATTGTGAAGGTGGGGCTAATCGCACCTGAGTAAACAAAAGCCAGAGGAAGCCTATATAGCAGCCAGGCTGAGGCCCAGGCAGCCCAGCAGCGCCTCAGCAGGCAAATAAGGAACAGACTACATCCTCAAGCAGCTCCCTGACACCTGTGGAATAAATTTTAAAAAAAAGCCTCATACAAGAGAGCTCAGGCTACACTAGGTGGGTACCCTTCTGAGACGAAGCTACCAGAGGAAAAATCAGGCAACAATCCTTGCTGCTCCGCAGCCCCCATGGGTGATTCCTGGGCAACCAAGGCCTGGAGTGGACCTCCAGCAATCCTACAGCAGAGGGGCCTATTAGAAGGAAAACTAAAAAACAAAAAGAAATAGCCTCAACATCAACAGAAAGGATGTTCACTCAGAGACTTCATCAGAAATCACCAACTTCAAAGATCAAAGGTAGATAAATCCATGAAGATGGGAAGAAACCAGCGTAAACAGAATGAAATCATCGAAGACCAGAACACCTCTCCTTCTCCAAGGGATCACAACTCCTCACCAGCAAGGGAACAAAACAGGATGGAGAATGAGTTTGACAAATAGACAGAAGCAGGCTTCAGAAGGTGGGTAATAACAAACTTCTCTGAGCTAAAGGAACATGTCCTAACCCAATGAAAAGAAACTAAAAGCCATGAAAAAAGGTTAGACAAAATACTAAATAGAATAACCAGCTTAGAGAAGAACATAAATGACTTCATGGAGTTGAAAAACACAGCACGAGAACTTCATGAAGCATACACAAGTTTCAACAGCCAAATCGATCAAGCAGAAGAAAGGGGATCAGAGACAGATGATCAACTCAATGAAATAAAATGAGAAGGCAAGATTAGAGAATAGAGAATGAAAACAAATGAACAAAGCCTCCAAGAAATATGGGATTATGTGAAAAGACCTAATCTACGCTTGATCAGTGTACCTGAATGTGACGGAGAAAATTAATCCAAGCTGGAAAACACTTTTCAGGATATTACGCAGGAGAATTTCCACAACCTAGCAAAGCAGACCAACATTCAAATCCACGAAATACAGAGAACACCACAAAGATACTCCTCAAGAAGAGCAACCCCAAGGCACATAATCATCAGATTCACCAGGGTTGAAATGAAGTAAAAAAAGCTAAGGGCAGCCAGAGAGAAAGGTTGGGTCACCCACAAAGGGAAAGCCACAGTGGATCTCTCAGCAGAAACCCTATACACCAGAAGACAGTAGGGGCCAATATTCAATATACTTAAAGAAAAGAAATTTCAACCCGAATTTCATATTCAGCCAAACTAAGTTTCATAAGTGAAGGAGAAATAAATACCCTTATGGACAAGCAGTTGCTGAGAGATTTAGTCGCTACCATACCAACCTTATAAGAGCTCCTGAAGGAAGCACTAAACATGGAAAGAAACAACCAGTACTAGCCACTGCAAAAACATACCAAATGGTAAGGACCAATGACACAATGAAGAAACAGTGTCAACTAACAGGCAAAACAACCCACCAGTAACAAAATGGCAGGATCGAATTCATACATAACAATATTAACCTTAAATGTAAATGGTCTAAATGCCCCAGTCAAAAGACACAGACTGGCAAACTGAATAAAAAGTCAAGACCCAACAGTGTGCTATAGCCAGGAGACCCATCTCAGGTGCAAAGACACACATAGACTGAAAATAAAGGGATGGAGGATGTACCAAGCAAATGAAGAGCAAAAAAAAACAGAGGTTGCAATCCTAATCTCTAATAAAACAGACTTTAAACCAACAAAGATCAAGAGACAAAGAAGGGCATTACATAATGGTAAAAGGATCAATGCAACAAGAAGAGCTAACTATCCTAAATATATATGCACCCAATACAGGAGCATCCAGATACATAAAGCAAGTTCTTAACGACCTACAAAGAGACTGAGACTCCTGCACAATAACAGTAGGAGACTTTAACACTCTACTGTCAATATTAGACAGATCAACACAAAGAAAATGTGGCACATATACACAATGGAATACTATGCAGCCATAAAAAACAATGAGTTCGTGTCCTTTGTATGGACACGGATGAATCTGGAAATCATCATTCTCAGCAAACTGACCCAAGAACAGAAAACCAAACACTGCATGTTTTCACTCATAGGCGGATGTAACAATGAAAACACATGGACACAGGGAGGGGAGCATCACACAAAGGGGTATGTTGGGAGGCAGTGGGCTAGGGGAGGGACAGCAGGGGACAGGGAGGTTGGAGAGGGATAACACTGGGAGATATGGCCGATGTAGGTGAGAGGGAGATGGAGACAGCAAACCACCATGGCATGTGTGTACTTATACAATAATCCTGCCAGATCTGCACCCCAGAACTTAAAGCACAATTTAAAAAAAAAAAGATCCAAGAATTTAAATAACCATGATTAATTTTATGTATTGCATACAGAAATGTGCTAGAAAAATATACAGCTAAAATGAATTCTAATAATAAGAAAGGAGGAATAAAATTACCTTTGCTGACAAATAGTGCTTGTAGTAGTACAACTGAAACAGCAGAAATGCAGAACTTGTCAGTGTTAAAAGGGCCAAAACCACGTTCTTATTGATTCTACTCATTAGTCTATGGTGCTCACTTGGTTGTCTTTTGAAAGTAACTCAGCTGTTTTCATCTTTCTGGATTTGGAAAGGAAGATAATTTTGTTTTCTGTGAACAAAAAAGATATTTCTAAAGAGACAAAAACCTCTTTAATTTTTCACCTCTAATAACCAACAACAGAACAAAGAAAAAAACTAAATTTCTACAGGCATTCTTTGATCTGGTCATTTTCTATACTAAAGAAATAAATGAGATCAATGATGAAAGAACAAAAATGTTTATCATGGTATTTTTTTTATAACTGCAAATAACTGAAAACATAAATAGATATTTATAAAAACTGACCAACAAAGCTTGAGAGGTGCTTTTCTCCTCCAGTTTCTGATTCAGTAAATCTGGTATGAGACCTCTGAATTTGCATTTCTGACAAGTTCCCAAATGATGCTGATGCTGCTGACAATGCTGAGGACCACTTTCAAAGAAGAAACTGAGAATGTTTTTTGTCAAGGAACGTGGCCTGTAAGGCAGCTCTTTGATGCTTTTTGAGTTTGTGTTTGATCTAGAATGTGGTCAGTTTTTCTTAATACTCCAGGTATGTTTTCAGTTTTTTCAACTGTAAATAATGCCACAATAAATATTTTATTCTTTTATCTTAGGTCTCATCTCTGATTAATTCTTTAGGTTAAGAAATTTAATACAGTTCTACTTCTTCCTAATTTGTCTCCACTGTTTACTTTTGGATAAATATATTTAGTTCTTCAAGTGCTTACATTTATTCCTTCAATCTTTCAAATATACTAATACCTATTACTCTCGATATCTTTATACGTCTTTTGTTCTCCAGCCATAAAATAAGAAGAATCAAAAAACATGCCCTGAACTGCAAAATAAAATAGGAGGCTGAGTAGCAGATTGGCAGGCATAAAGAGAAAATGCCTCTGAAAATGTATTCAGAGTAAGACAAAAAAATAAACATTTTTCAGCTATTCTCAAAAGCCAAAAATAACCCAGTAGCAACAGCTACTATCAAAACGTTCCCAAATACTGTTGGTCTTTCTCATTGTCCATTTACTTTCCTTTCACTTCTAACTTTTCACGACTGTCAGCAGCTTGGAAGTAAACATTAGACTGAAAGGGGTTAAGAAGTCTCTTTATCTGCTTACCATTCACGCACTTCTTAATCCTTTGCAATATAACCTCTACCTAAACATGCCAACAATTGAAGATAAAAAGCTAGTGAAATTTAGTCTCTCCAGTAGATGCTCCAGAAAAATCATAAATAAGTGACTCCCTTCTGAATGGCGATGGTTTAACAGGGTTTGAAAAGAGAGTGGCTGAAATGAAAGCTCTAGATAAGGCAGGTTAGGAAGAAGGGAGGTGAAGACAGGAAGGATTGTCTTTGGGTTGGTAAGAGTGTAAGTGGTTCTATTTGTTTTCCTTATTGATTATGTTATGTGGACATCAACTGATTTCATAATAAGAAAAAACTACTAAGATTTTTTAAGCTTTAAAAACTTTCCTTATTGTTAATGTTATGTGAACATCAATTGATTTTGTAATAAGAAAAAACTACTAAGTTTTCTTTAACTTTAAAAATTCTTCTCTCATCCTAAATGAATGACCAATATTCATTTACTAGAGTCCACATGCATTATAAGGTTTTATTATGCTAATGTCTCTCCATTTCTGGAGTAACGGAAGTTTTTATTTTTTTAAGAAATGGAGTCTTGTTCTGTTACCCAGACTGGAGTGCAGTGTCACAATCATAGCTCCCTGAGGCCTCAAACTGCTAGTCACAAGCAATCCTTCCACCTCAGCCTGTTGAGCACCTGGGATTATATGCATGAAACATTATGTTTGGCTCCCAAGTTATTTTTAAGTGACTTCCTCAAGAATTCAAGTACTTAATTGCTTTGTTGCAGACACTTGGGTATTTATCTTAATAAAAACATACAATCAAACACAGGGCTTAGAGTGTATCATATACTTAGTGCAACACTGAAATTGTGAATGTATGTATGTATGTAAAATCTGGATGAGAGTTCCTGAAAATATTAATAATGCTTATCTCTGGGTAGGGATAATTAGGAGTGATTTTTACATGGTTCTTTATACTTTTCTATATCGTTCCAATATTTTTATGGACATATATTATTTTCATAAGGAGCAATTATTTTATCTTAAGAGAAACAGATAATGGGTGGTGGTAGTGGCTTAATAATTGCCATATTTGCTAAACAGGATCTAGATTCTTGTCACTTAAAAGTATGGTCCCAAGAACATCAGCATCTCACTGGAGCTTGTTAGAAATACAGATTTTTCAGGTCCCATTTACTGATTCATAATCTACATTTTAATAAAATCCTCAGATGATTCATATGTACATTAAAATTTGAAAAGCTCTGATCTAGATGCTAAGGGTTTTACATGCAGAGAGGATAAGAACAATGTCTACCTTGTTCATCGTTATATCCCTAGCACCAGCAGTGCTTGAAACATATAAATATTTATTGAATAAATAGATATGTAAATAATATCACTTCTGGGTAGACAATTAGAAAGGAAATGGAGATTTTATCTATTTGAATTATTTATTTTCTGCCAGTATTCCCAGAAGTAGGTCCTTATCATTTGCTGCAAATGCTGTTAAATTAGTTTGATAACGACGGTGGGCCCCTGATAACCCATAATTGTATGTAACATTTTTGGAAAAGGACTCCTTGCTCTTAGCTCTGAGATCCACATGCCTCCTTCCATAATTTCTCTAACCTCCTATCTATGAGTATAGACTTTACTCTCTCTACAATCTTTCCCTCAAAACAAATCCATTCTCAACATTTTAACTACCACCTGTGAGAGAAATCACTATTTAAATTACAGTCTATGCACTCAATCTGCCTATGTTTTCAACTATTTTTCCTGTCCCTCACCTCAAATTTAACATGTTCAAAATTAACAATTTTTTTTTTTTTTTTTTGAGATGGAGTTTCCCTCTTGTCCAGGCTGGAGTGCAGTGGCCTGATCTTGGCTCACTGTAACCTCCGCCTCCTGAGTTCAAGCGATTCTCCTGCCTCAGCCTCCCGAGTAGCTGGGATTACCGCTGCCCGCCACCAAGCCTGGCTAATTTTTTGTATTTTTAGTAGAGATAGGGTTTCACAATGTTGGCCAGGCTGGTCTCGAACTCCTGACCTCAGGTGACCACCCACCTCGGCCTCCCAAAGTGCCGGGATTACAGGCGTGAGCTACCGCATCTGGCCCAAAATCAACAACTTTATTCTCTGTCAACTATCTTCTTCTCCCCCTCCAGAAGAAAGTGCCTCGCTCTCCATCCTCACAGCCTCTAGTTTTACAAGCTTTAGACAAGAGGGAGCAGCTGACCCAACATCACCTTACGGAGAACAGGCTCTAGAAGAATTAAATGACAGCCAAGAGGCTAGTTATTGGCAACATCAGCACTCTACGATCTAAATTACGTTATAACACTATTGCATGCTGGAATTCAATCGAATTCCCATTTTTGCCAACAGCACTTAAACTTACTTTTTAGAAACCCAGGTTAAAAATATTATCACCTAGATCCAAGAACTCAAAATCCTGTGTATTGTTCTTTGGGCATTTCCCTGGTTCCTTTTTTCTTCCTTGTCAGAACACCCTGCATTTCTTTCCACTTGGGGTTCTTTCATCATTCAATGCCAGCCTTCCCAAACCCTCTACCCTCACTAAACATACGTCCACAAATAGAATATAACATTCCTGCCCCTGATATCTTTGTCCATGGCCCAACAGAGATGTTTTCCAATCACTCAAACCCTATTCATCCTCAGAGTCTAGCTCAAACACAGCCTTTTCTACTGAGCGTCCATCTGCCCAATGTCTAAGGTACTGCTCTATCATTCACTTTGATATTACTTCATAGATTGATTTTTTACTCACTGGAAACGTGCTATCTTCAAAAGCATGAAGAATCTGATATATCATCTAGGTCCTTGCCTTTTTTTTTTTTTTTTTTTTTTAACATCTGAGAAAACTGAATCCAAGAGAAACGGGGGTTACCTCATGCTAATTGAGAAATTAGAAATTTCAGGCCGGGAGCGTTGGCTCACGCCTGTGTTCCCGGCGCTCTGGGAAGCCGAGGCGGGCGGACGACCTGAGGTCAGGTGTCACCAGGGCAACCCTGCTACTACAGGAGTCTCGATCGCCCTCTAAACTTTCACCTGTCCCAGGAGGAAGATTTTACCTGATGACACGCCCAGAAGTGTGGGAAGCACTGGCCAAGTGGAAGTCTACCACGCGATGCTGGTGAACTGACTGGAGTACGCAGCCCGGAGCGCGCTCAGCGTGTGGCCGGCCTCCCCGCCATGGGGTAGGCAGGTGCCCAGAATACTGGAGGATGCCCGGTAAGGGCACCCGAGCCACCAGCGGCACCTGTTTGAAGGCGCCCACCTATCCCCAGCTACGGAGCTGAGACTCCCACACCTTACCTCACTCAGCAGCAGCGGCAGCCGCTCCGCTTTACGGCATTCACAGCAATCGCTGCAAAAGCGGCCGTCAAGTGCTGAGCCGCGGAGGCTGGCTGGGTTCCGGCCGGGAAGTTCCCACAGTCCGGCGCCCGCCGCGGCTCCTGTGTGATTTCTGTCGCATCCTCACCGCCAGAAGTTTACTGAGCCCTGGCGATTCCTCGCTTTTAGAATCTAGCCACTTTGCCAAAGCCCTCTTATCTCTTGTCTAATTAACAACTACAGCAGCGCACTGAGGCAATGTCAGATTTTAAGAAAAGTTCTCAAACGTTTTCGGCAGCGGACGATGAACTGCAGGCAGCAGCTGAGCTGTTTTCCAAAGCCTATGAGTTCAGATAAGGCAGGATGCTCATTAAATGTGAGCTTCTGATACACGTATGATTTTTTAGTGCGTGTGCTTCGCTGAGAGGGATTCAGCATAACTCCCTGAATTTTGGTTTGGATACAATTAATAGAGATAGGGGATAGAGTGGAAAATAGCAGCTGCGTTCACTACTGCTCATGAAGCTGAGGTGCCTCTATGACATCCAAGATCCAGCGGCCTGTTGCCCTCCAGTTTTCAGGCAGGATATAATTTTGAACCTAATTCTTTAAATTTTTCTTTTCTTTTTTTTTTTTTTTTTTTTTTTGTAGAGACGTTGGGGGCTAGCAGAAGAGGGAGCGGGGAGGGGGGAGGGTTCTCACCATGTTGCCCAGGCTGGTCTCGAACTCCTGGCCTCAAGCAGCCCTCCCACCTTGGTTAACTTTTAACGGTGTAATCCAAAAGATTGTTGTTAAGGCTCAGTTATTAATCTTGTTATAAATTTTTGAAAACCATAAACCATTAAACCAGTTACTGTAATAATTTATTTCTACAAAACAGAAAATACTCCCGTCATATATTTGTTTTCTGAGCTTTTTTTAAAAAGCAAAATTCTATCAATACAGGAAGAAAAGGAAGTCTTCCCCATTTCCTAGAGGTTATCACTTTCACCAACTTTTTGTTTTTCCTTATCAAATAATTCCTTTGTACATACCAGCTTACTGTAGAAGTCCTCCTATCCAACACGCTCAGAACTGGTACTCGGTAGGTTAATTTTTTTTTTTTTTTAAAAAGTAGGTTACATCAAGAGAAAAGTCATCAAAGCCTAATGGTATTAACAGAGGTGCTAACGTGATGGAACATGGGAAAACTTGAGCATCGCATACCTGCTATTGATTGAAACACGTAAAATATAAAAATTCTGGAGTTTCTAATGACTCCTTAAAAAATAAAATTCAAGGCCGGGCGCGGTGGCTCAAGCCTGTAATCCCAGCACTTTGGGAGGCCGAGACGGGTGGATCACGAGGTCAAGAGATCGAGACCATCCTGGTCAACATGGTGAAACCCCGTCTCTACTAAAAATACTAAAAATTAGCTGGGCGTGGTGGCGCGTGCCTGTAATCCCAGCTACTCAGGAAGCTGAGGCAGGAGAATTGACGGAACCCAGGAGGCGGAGGTTGCGGTGAGCCGAGATGGCGCCATTGCACTCCAGCCTGGGTAACAAGAGCGAAACTCCGTCTCAAAAATAAATAAATAAATAAATAAATAAATAAATAAATAAAATTCAGTCGTGATTGAAGGTTGCCAGGTTGAAGATTAAATATTCTGAAACCTGATAAAGGGAAAACATCAGGCATTTATCCTGCCTTTCTTTTGTGAACGGAATTTCAGTGTAACCAAAATACTTATAAGAATTCCAGCTAATAAATGGAGAATGATAAAACAATCACAATTTTGCAACTTTTAATGAAATAATAGAAAGGGCAACATCAGTAGATGCTAAAATTAAGGTGAAAGGTTGCTGGGGAACTTCATAATAGACTGGCAGCACCTGAACGCATTGATGAATCTTAATCTCACTAAGTTTGGGACAAGCATATATTATGTACTTCCTGATGCGATGGAAAGTATGCAGCCACACCTGTGAAGGATTCTTGCCTAAAAATTGAACCTGTATTTACTCAAATTCTAGATCTAACACAGGATATAGAGAAGCAACCAGTTAAATTCGGAAAACAGGACGTTCTACAAGACAAATGCCTCAGTGTTTTTAATCAATGGCATTTAAAAGCAGAAGAGGGAACTACAAAAAAAATCAAATATTTGAGAGGTTTAATGAAGTACAATGTGTGGACCCTGTCTAGATGATTTGAACAAGCTAACCATAAAAAGATGTTTTTGAGACAACTGAAATTTTAGTATTGACTGATCCATTAGATAATAGTACAGAATTACTGTTAATTTTGCAAAGAATGTTAACAGAATGTGGCTGTTTTTAAAAAGCCATAATTGATTCATTCAGCATACTTAAAGGTGACATTTTAAAACAAAATAGATGGCACAAAGATGGAAAAATGTTAACAATTGACAACCTAGGTGATGAGCACAAAGCACTGGCTTTTTACTTGTCTGTATACTTGGAAATTAAAAGTAACAGGAAAAGGGAAAAATTATCAGGTTCTTAGAAGTAAATACTTCTCAAGTGTATAACAAATCTAGTTCTGAATAAATCTTTTAAAAAGGCAGTTTCAGTACAGGGTTACAATGGCCAATCTTCTGATTTGAACTAAGTTCATTTTAAGTATGGACCAATTGATTGGAGTATCTCACTGTTTTTCTTACAAAACTACAGACATAATGCATCATCCATCATTTCTTGTTTCTGTTTCTGTAAAATGGATGAGGAATTTAAAGATACAAGTGAAGGAAGATGAATGTGGAGTCCTGGAATTTTTTTTTTTTTTTTTTGAGACGGAGTTTCGCTCTTGTTACCCAGGCTGGAGTGCAATGGCGCGATCTCGGCTCACTGCAACCTTCGCCTCCTGGGTTCAAGCAATTCTCCTGCCTCAGCCTCCCGAGTTGGGATTACAGGCAGGCGCCACTACACCCAGCTAATTTTTGTATTTTTAGTAGAGACGGGGTTTCACCATGTTGACCAGGATGGTCTCGATCTCTTGACCTCGTGATCCACTTGCCTCGGCCTCCCAAAGTGCTGGGATTACAGGCGTGAGCCACCGCGCCCAGCCGAGTCCTGGAATTTTAATCAAAAATCTTCTCCATCACTCAATTACTTTGGCCACAACTAACTTCTCAGCAATTTGTTAAACACTTCATCTATAATAGTTCCCCCACTTTCCTTATAAGTAACTTTTCATACTTGTTTCATATTTATATATTTACATTATATAATTGGTTTACATATTTACATAATTACAACTATGACTGCCACCTGCATAAGCAGATTTGGGAACAAACATAACTGAAGGTAAATATACAACTCAACTGGTGGCATTACTACTTCTCAAGCATACCGAGAGGTCAAATGTGAGCCCTCAGCTCATGGCAGACGTCAGTCAGTATGCTTTAATCTAGTTAGCAAATTCAGTTGAAAGAGTGGGTATAAGGATGCATAAAACAGCCTCCCTTATAAGTAAATATTCATGTTCTATAAACCACTCAGCTCTGCACACATCCAAGCACCCTAGCCCACTCCTAACATTTGTAGGGTCTGGGGCAAGAATACAAATGGAAGCCAACCCTGACATATTTTCAGTGTCTAAACAGCTGAGTGTTAAGCAACAAATAAGATGTTATACTCTTCTACTTCAACACGTATTTATTCTCAGGGAACAGAAATCTAGATTCAAATATGCAATCTGCAGATTCTTCAAATGTGTACCAGAAAGTGAAAGTAGGTTGGCCTGCCCTCCCCTGAGCCCCTGGATCTTTTTACTTCTAGCTTCAGCCTGCCACGAGGGGCCTGTCATGCATGCATGTGGACAACTCAGTCTGCACAAAAAGCTTCATCTGCACTTCCCACAAACTGCCAGCCATAGGGGTATATGCATCTGGATGGACTTGGACAAGAGACCTGCACATATCCTCGAGGCAAGCTTCAGGCTGACTGGGCAAGAAATTCTGGGGTCCTGGCTATCTGATAGCAGTATAGAAGTCAGTAAAGGAACATGCATTCCAAATAGGTGTAATCTGTTGGCTCCTCAATTTTTCATCTCATGAAGAAAGGTGCAGCAAGAGTGTGGGGATCAGATTAGTTAGCTTGCCTTAGGTAGGTAACAAGGGAAGGGTTCCGGAGAACCCTTGGCCCATGGGTCCATACCCTATCCCCACATAATATAAAAAGCAGCCTGGGAAAAAACTCAAGCTGCAGGCACCAACAAGGGAACTAGCACAGGGTGTTGTGCCTGGAGACATGCCCATGGCTGCACAGATAGAAAAACCTACAGCCCATTTGGATAAAAACTTGCACAAACCTCCAGCTCACTCAGATAAGGGAACAAGGCCTGGCATAGAAATGACTTTGTCCTTTGTATAATCAGCAGGTTCCCAGGAAAGTTTCTTTTCCTTTTGTAGGCATGGGCACAGTGGTATCCAGTAGGTTCCAGTGGGTACTCTACTTTCCTTTATTAGGACTCTAAGTCTGGATTCTATGCATTGTCACCTCAACCCCTGATTGGTCCCGAGCCACACTTTGACTTTAGCTTCTGATAGGTCCTGGGCCAGGCTACGCAGCATCTGTGAATCATCGTTTCAGCTCCTGACTGGTCCCAGGCCAAGCTGAGTCACACGTTCACCAAGACAGCCCACAGACTAAGCATATTCTTTAGTCTGCGGGCTGTCCCCTCCGTCCATAAAAACCCTGGACTCCAGCCTCACGGTGAGTACTCCTGTTCAGGACCCCTTCTCTGCTGGCAGAGCTTTTGTCTTTCACTTACTAAACTTTTGTTCTAACCTCACCTTTGTGTCCACACTCCATAATCGTCTTGGAGGTAGGACAAGAACCCAGGGTGTTAGACAATGAAAGACTGTTTCAATAACATAGTATAGAAGTGGGTAAAGGAATATGCATTCCAAGTAGGTATAATCTCTTGGCTCAGTTTTTCACCCCATGAAGAGGGCACAGCAAGTGTGTGGGGATCAGGTCAGGGTCCCCTCTTACCCAAGTATAA